TTTTGTACTTTTCGACTATTTTGCATTTTCGCCCCAAATCCTCCTGTAGGGGGACGCGCCCGACCTAATGGTAGCTGCTGACGTTGGGCTCCACGTTTCTTCCACAACGGCTTCTGATCGCATCGCGCTTGCTGCTTCTCGGCCTCCTGCACCCTGTCGCCCGATCGTTGCGCGCGGGGCCGCGACGCCAAAACAGACGTGCGTGTGCGCGCGTGGGGCAGGAAGAGCGGCGCACAAGGATGTATAGATGTCCACCGCACGGCAAGCAAAGCAGCAACGGAGGAGTCGGAGGGGGTGGGGATGGTAATTACGCTTGCACATGACGGCGTGCTGCATCGTGAACATGCAACTGGTCGCCATCGCCCCCCCCTCCCACCCTCCCCCCCTCCTTCACCGCATACCGACTGTGCCCCAGCCGGTGGTCGTGCAGCTGCCCGAGGCGCCATGATCCAGGTCGAGTGCTTACTCGCGACCCTGTACCCGATCGTGGTCAAGCCCCCCCTCGTGCTGGGTGCACTCTTCAGGGGTGGTGCACCTGCTCGTGCCCCCGCCCGGGCGTGGTGCAGCCTCGAGCCTCGAGCCCGCGACGGTGGACCGAGAGCTGGCGCGCCAGACGCAAGAGCGCCCCCCGTGTCGGGGGCTGCCAAGAGGGGGGTGATGACCAGGGGGGGGTAACATGGCGGGGACCATGATATCTCCCCAGATTTCATGGCGCCTCTTCGTATTTCGTTACGTCCCCGGCCCCCCCCTTAGGACGCCCCCCTCTCGGCCGCCCCCGACCGTAGTGTCCCTCGTTGTCCCACGTGGCGTCTGAAAGTGTTTGGCCGGATCGGATCCTGTGACGGTCTGCCCTGCGGACCAGCAGGGCTTTGCGTCGGTTGTGGAGCCTTTGGGGTAAAGCGGATGCAGAGGCTCGTGCACTGCGGGCTGGAGGCGGGTGCAACATGAACCACGGGAGCCGTACAAGCGACGCGGTGATTGAAGCTTTGTCCGCGAGAAGATTGATGCTGTCCTTCCCGCGGTCGCATATGTATTGAAGAGGCCTTTGGCCGGTGCCGCCGATCCGGGACGATCCCGCTGTCAGAAGGGCGATTTCGCCCCAGCGCGTTTATTCAAACGTAAGTGGTTAAAAACAGCTTGGAGGCATTGCGTGGGCTTCCTGAAGGGCCTCTACGACGCATCTTCGAGGTCTCTTGGGGGGGCGTCTTGGAGGTGATTGTTGAGCCTCTTGGGGGCCTTTTGGGTTTCTTGGGGGGCATGCAAGAGGCATCCTGGAGGCCTCCTGGGGGTGTGTGAGAGGTAATTTTTAAACCTTCGGGAGCGCTTTTGGGCGCCTTTTGGGGCCTCTTGAGGGCCACTTAGAGCCTATCGGGGTTTCTTGGGGACTCCTAGGGCCATTTTGGTGCCTCCTGGGCTCCTCTTGGGCCGTCTTGGGCCCTTGTTTCTTGGGGGCTCCTAGGGCCATTTTGGTGCATCCTGGGCTCCTCTTGGGCCGTCTTGGGCCCTTCTTCGGCCGTCATGGAGTTGTCTTGGGCGCTTCTTGGGCCCGTCCTGGGGCCCGCTTGGGCTGCCTTGGGCGCCTCCCGGGCCGTCTTGGGCCCTTCTTCGGCCGACTTGGGGCTTCTTGAGAGCCCCTGGGCCTGCTTTGGGGGTCTCTTGGGCCGTGTTGGACATTGCGAAGGCCGAAGAAGCGAACATGCAAACAAAAAACCTTTTCCTCAGGGAATGGGACAGATTTTCCGTCTTTGGGCACTCTCAGGAGGTGTCGGGAGGGTACGTTGGAGGCTTCTGGAGCCGTCTGAGGAACATATTGAGTGTCTTGGAGCGATGTTTCGGCCACTCAGGGCCCTCTTGGGCCGTCTGGTCGGCCGCTGGGTTTTTCATGAACCCGCGTTCGAGCTCTCCGGGGCGAGGGGCCGACCCGGAGTGAGCTGGAGCTCGGATTTTGCAAAGAAAATTGACTCGACCCCCCCCCCTGGCTGAGCCACCCCAGCACCCACCCCCCCAGCAGAGCTGAAGCTCAAGAACTGAGGCTCAGGGTATATCTGAGGGTCTTTGAAACTCACACGCCGGATCGGCGGATTTGCGTCCTGTCCCCCCGTTCTGTCGCTTCCCCTGTCCCCGCTTTGTCGCATCCGCGTGTTGTTGCGTCCTGCTCGCCACGGCCTCTTGTTTCCTTACTGCTCTCATTTCGGGCAAATGTAAGACTCGATCGCGCCAGAACTCTGATTTGCCGACGCTTTCTGACGAGCCCGTCCTGTTCAACGGTCCAGTTGTCGTGGGATGTCTGCAGCGGCAGTTCGCGTCGAGTCTCGGACTGGGTCACGTCATTTTCCTGCTGGCCCCGCCGGGCCAACCCGAGTCCCCCTGACCCGAGTCTTGCGTCTCCCCGAGCATGCCCCTTCCTCTCCCTCGGCCGGGCCGCCTCTCGGTGCCCTTCAGACGGAGCGGGGATCTCAACCGTTGTCGCAGGGGGGGGCTCCCCCACCGCGCGCCGCTGCTCAGGCGACGCTCAGCCCAGTCGGCAGGGGATCCCCCCCCTGGCTAGTGCGTAGGCTACGCCGGGCGTCGCGCCCCGCCCCGCCGCACTTCCCGCGTGTGCCCGGGATGGCGCTCAAGGAGGGCGGCGGCCGTCGTCGTCTGCGTCGATCCAGGCTCGCGGGTTTCCTCTCGCTCCGATCGATCCGAAGTGCTGCGGGCTCCTGCGGGCCCGATCGGGCTCGATTCCGATGCTCGGACGATCCGATGTGGCTCGATGCTGGTGTGGCGCTGTTGTGCATTGTGGCGCGGTCGATTATTCGGTTCGAGCTCGGCTCCCGATGCGACGTGCAGTCCGATTTGAGCCGATTTAGCGATGCAATGCTGGCTGATCCTGCGACGTCGTCATCATCGATCGAGATCCGTTGGTCGATGATCCAGGTTTGTTGGGCGCTTTTGTGGCCTCTGGGATGCTTCTCGCCGTCACGCCTGTGTCCTCGACCCTGCAGAGGCTGGGGGGGGGGGGGGGGGGGGGCGATTTCTGCGGTGGGAATGCTGGTCCTCCCCCTCTCCTCCGGCTCCTCCTCGGGCCTTCTCCCAGAGATCCGATGTCGTGATTTTTCCAATGCGCGGTCCCTCGAAGTCTCGAACCAATCCCCAGGACCGTTTTTTCATACTGAGTCGTTTTTTGACGGTAACGGGGACTGGCGAGGGCCCCCAGAGGCCGACAATTGAGAAAAAAAACCGTATTGATTCGTTCCCATACGCTGGACCTTTGGGCTCCCCCCTCCCTCACCCTCGCACTCCTCGGTGCCAGTCATGTTCGGGCAGCTGCTGGTGCCCCTCGCCCCCCTTGGTGCCAGCCATGAGGAGGAGGAGGAGGAGGAGGAGGAGGAGGAGGAGGAGGAGGAGGAGGAGGAGGAGGAGGAGGAGGAGGAGGAGGGAGGAGGAGGAGGAGGAGGAGGAGGAGGAGGAGGAGGAGGAGGAGGAGGAGGAGGAGGAGGAGGAGGAGGAGGAGGAGGAGGAGGAGGAGGAGGAGGAGGAGGAGGAGGTGGAGGAGGAGGAGGAGGAGGAGGAGGAGGAGGAGGAGGAGGAGGAGGCGGTGCCGCGGGCGTTTGCGGGCCGCCGCACGCGCCCTCTCGGGCTGCGGGGCCCGGGCCTCCCCGCAGGCAGCGTCCTCCGCCGCGCCTGGCCGCGGGCCCTCCGAGCTCGCAGCGGAGACCCGGAGGACGAGGAGGTACGGTAGGTTCGCGTCGTGTCGACAGGCGGCGACCCCGCCGCCGACGTTCAACGTTGAACGCCGACGGCGGCCCAGAATCGGTCGATGGTGAACGATCGGACGTTGCGGAGACGGCCGATCGTTCAAGGTTGAACGATCCAGCGCGGTGTCAGGAACCAACGCCAGGGTCGACACGGCACGGACCTGCAGTACCCCCTACAGGGCTCGTTGCGATTCCTTCGATTTGGTTCGGTTCGATCTTCGGTGGCTTCCGATTCCGATTCGATGCGGCTTTTGGAGGCACGTTGGCTTGCCGATTTCCACCGATTCGACTTCTCCCGACTCGGCCGCCGATTTCCGCCGATCTGATCCATTTCGATGGCCGATCCGACTTATCGATTCGATTCTGGGCTCGCCTGCCCCTACAGTGGAGGCCCATGCCAAGAAACGCCCTGCTTCCCTCCAGGGTGCCATGGGTTTCTTGGGTTTCGAGGTTTTGCTGTGGAGCGCGTGACGTTCCCACGCCAGAGATCCATAGACGTCCTGGGGTCTCAGGGTTGGGTTTCTTGTGGAAGGTTTCTTGTGGACTGGCCTCCACCTAGCCTATGCCGCTACCCGTCCCCCGGGTTTCCCCCTTGCGGGAGCCTCCTGGGAGGCCTTCGTCGCCACCGCTGGATTCGCCTCGAAATCCTGGTCCGGACGCACCCCGGGAGAGGTCTGGGGAGTAGCGGCATCGACGCGTTTTGGTGTTTCCCCAGCGGAGGAGTATCTCCTCCTGTATGTCCATGCGTATGTTGTAAGCACTTTCCCTCGCTTTGTCTCTTTCTCTCTTTATCTCCCTCTCTCTCTCGTGTTCTCTCGTTCTCTCTCGTTTTTGTTGTTGTTTCTCTCTCTCTCTCTCTCTCTGTTCTGCCCCGCTTCCTCTCATCCTCACTCCCCCCCCCCCTCGCCTCGCCCTGGTATTGTTCACATGCCCGGTCTGCGTCGCCGTCGGCATCTCCTCGTGGCCGTGGTGCGCGTTTCTCCGATTCGGGCGCGCTGTCGCAATCACCCACCTCTCTCTCGTCCCCCCCCTCCGCTGCTATTCCCAGAGATCCAACGTATCGAAAAAATCAAGACGGAGGTTTTCTCAATTTTCGGCCTCTAGGGGCCCTCGCCGGGCCCCAGGACCGTCAGAAAACGACTCAGGATGAATAACCGGTCCTGGGGAATGGGTCGAGACTTGGGGGGACCGGGCGTTGACAAAATCACGGCATCGGATCTCTGAGTTCCTCCTCCCCCTCCCCAGGAGAAGAAGACAAAGATGCCGCCCCCGGGTGCGGAGAAGGACGCCACTCTCCGCCTCGCCCGGGGGGCCGGTGGAGAGAGTCGGAGGCGGGGAGAGATCGAGAGAGAGAGAGAAGCATCGCAGTCTCTCGCCGCTACGCCGCGGCGGCGACGCTGGCGCGGGCGTTCAAGGTTGAGCCCATTTGCAGGATCAGTTTCGGCCCGGTCGATCCAGTTCGAGCCCTCCCCCCAACACAGAAAGTCGAGGGGGAAGGTTCGAACCCTCGTCCACACTGGCGCCGGCAAGCGACGACGACGACGACATGTCCCGCTCGCCCGCCAGACCGCCACGACGCCGGCGTGTCCCGCCCGCCCGTCCGACCGACCGATTCTCCCACGACGACGACCGCGCCGTGGAACGACGACGAGGACGACGACGACGTTCACGATTGTGAGTTCGAAAACCAGGCGATTCAGGCATGATGCCGTTGAAATCTTGCTCAATCCATTTTACGGTTAATCTTGCCTTTTGTGGCTCAATGGCCCCGCAGTCGGGTTTAATAGCCACCAACTTGTCGTAATTGCGTAGACGGTATTCTAGAAACAATGCCTCGTAGCATGTCCGTCGCCTTCCACCTATATGCCGATTAGTTTTCCAGCTCCCGATGGTGTCCAAGCCGCGGGATGCTCTAATGCAGCTGTGCCTCGCCGCTTCTTTATCCGCTTATTCCCGCTCCCGCTTGTTCTTCGTCCATTCCAAACCGTGTCTTTCAAGCTCAAATCGTGGCAGACGCAGTCGATGGATTGTTCAGCCGCACCCGGGAGCGTAGTGTTCGACCTCTGCGCAGGAAGTGACCTGGGCTCTGCGAGCGCAGAATCGTCAGGAGGCAAAAGCACATAGACACAATGCATCGACGATTCCCAGGAGAATATGCAAAACATATGGAAAGGGGGTGGAAGACGAAATTCCCAAACATATTTTAAAATATGTAGGATCATGTTATTTGTGCGTCTGTGCATTTATTTGTGTGTCCCAGGGCCCCTTCGAATCTTACCAACATGCATGACCAGCAGCTGCTGGAGCTCTGCGCGGAGCGCCGACCGTTTATGTTTGCGCCGTTGTTTGGTGAGACCAAGCGAGACGACGTATCAGAAGCTGCCTTCCCCGCTGCTCGTTCACGAGGCGCTCGCTGGGCCACAGCCCCGCGGTCGGCGGCGCGATCGGCCGCCCGAGCCGGCAGCGCCAGGAGGGCACGGTGAGGCGCAAGAAGAAGTCGCACGCCTCCTACGCGAGCTACATCTTCAAGGCACTTAGTGGAGGAAGAGGAGGAGGAGGAGGAGGAGGAGGAGGAGGAGGAGGGCCCTGCCATCCTCGCGTCTTGAAGAATCACGACGGCGGGCTTTTGGCCGTCTGTGGTCTCTGGGGGCCCTAGCCAGGCCCCAGGACCGTCAGAGAGCGGCACAGGATGCGAAGCCGGTCCCTTCGGATGCCCCAGATTCTTGGGGGGCCGTGTTGGACAAAACTCCGCATGTCTGATACCTGGGGAGGAGGAAGAAGAGGAGGAGAAGGAGGAGGAGTGGGAGGAGGAGGAGGAGGATGAGGAGGAGGAGGAAAGAGGGGGCGGAGAAGGAGGAAGAGGAGGTGAGGAGGAGGAGGAGGAGGAGGAGGAGTTAAAGGAGTTTGCCCAAGAGCAAGAGGAGAGGAGAAGGAGGAGGAGGAGGAGAAAGTGGAGGAGGCCGAGGCGGCGGAGAAGGAGGAGGAGTTGGAGGCGAATGCGGAGGTGGAGGCGGAGGTAGAGGCGGCTGAGGGGGAGAGGGAGGGGGGAGGGGGAGGGGAGGGGGGAGGAGGGGAGGTGAGGGGGGAGGGGAAAGGGGAGGGGGAGGAGGAGGAGGAGGAGGAGGAGGAGGAGGGAGGAGGAGGAGGAGGAGGAGGAGGAGGAGGAGGAGGAGGAGGCGGAGGAGGAGGAGGACGAGGAGGAGGAGGAGGAGGAGGGAGGAGAGGAGGAGGAGGAGGAGGAGGAGGAGGAGGAGGAGGAGAGGAGGAGGAGGAGGAGGAGGAGGAGGAGGAGAGGAGGAGGGGAGAGAGGAGGAGGAGGAGGAGGAGGAGGTGGAGGAGGAGGAGCAGGAGGAGCAGGAGGAGGAGGAGGAGGAGCAGGAGGAGCAGGAGCACGAGGAAGGAACCTTCCAGAGCGTGTTGGAACGCTCCCAGTGCGTGCTGGAGCGCTCTTGCATGGCCGCGTCGCCCGACACGTTCTCCAGACCCAACCGTTCTCGAAGATTCCCGGCGCATCCCCAGGAGACTGCCTTGAAGGGGTTCGGCGATGACCGGGCACACAGTCCTACTCCTCCTCTTGCTTCGCCTCCTCCTCCTCGTCCGCCTGCTTCTCCTCCCCCTCCTCCTTCTCCCCACCGTCCTCCATCCTCCGCGCCCTCCTCCCCCACCGTCCCCTTCCCCCACAATCATCATGTTCCTCCCCCACCGTCCTCCTCCTCCTCCTCCTCCGCCTCTTCCTCCTCATCCTACTCCTCTTCCCCGCGGCGGGGGGGTCTGTTACTGCCCTGCTGATTGCCGCATTCTGGTGCTAGGCCCTACGCCGCGGGGACAAGGGCAATGCCATGTACGCTGCACGGCTTGGTGTCAGCCTGCCAGCTCGTTTTTGTGGGTCCCGCCCCGCGGCATTTTGCCTGGGGTCTCACAGTGAGGAGGTGGACCGACCGTCCCCCTGCGCACCACCGCCATCACGCATGAGTGACGAATCGCGGGGCGACAAGGCGCTGACCTGCACTTCGACCGTGTTGCGTGAGTGCCTCGCCGATGCGCGAGTGGCCTCCCATGCGCGTGAGGAGGGTGGTTTCCCCGTGCGGGGGCAGAGGGGGCATTGCTTTTCCTGAGGCAGTCCTCTCGCGCGGGTTCGCTTTTTCGCTCTCCATGACTCAATGGTCCTCTTCATCCGCATCCTCTTCCCCCGCCCTCCTCCTCCTCCTCCTCCTCCTCCTCCCCAACCGTCATTTTCCTCCTCCCCATCCTCCTCCTCCGCCTATTTCTTTGCCACGCCATGGGGGCGTCACGCCCGCGGCGTCAGGGCATCCGAGGAGAAGAAACAGGTCGAAGTATAAAGGGTTATTGAGAGGACAAGGATTGGTTTGGTGGAGGAGGAGGGAGTAGGAATGAGGAAGATGATGAGTATTTGGAGGAAGAAGAAGGGACCGGGAATGCACGAGGGGAGGAAAGGTGGAGCGGAAGAAAAGGGGGAAGAAGAGGAGGATGATGATGAGGAGGAGGAGGAGTCAAGACGGGAACCGGGGGCTTGAAGGCGCTCGGGTGTCAGCGTTCCATCGGGATCTAGAGTGTCCAGGCAATCATGAGATGAGAACGCACGCGAGAATGAGGAGAAGGAGGAAGATGAAATGCAGATGGAGATGGAGGAGGAGGGAGCGGAGGGGGAGGAACAAGAAGAGGAACAACAATAATGAGAGGAGGAGGAGGAGGATAACGAGGACGAGGAGGAGGATGATGAGGATATATATATATATATATATACATATATATATATAGAGAGAGGGTTTACTATGAGAAGGAGGAGGATGAGGAGGAAGAGGAGGAGGAGGAATGGAGGAATGGAAGAATGGACGAATGGATGAATGGAGGAATGGAGGAGGATGACCTTGGCCGCCCACCTTCGCCAGTCACGCCAGCCCGTCGGGAGGTCTTGAAGCAGGTGCACCCCAAGCTGCGCATCTCCAAGCAGGCGACGTGGAAGGGGATGCGAGGGCCGACGCAGACCTTCGAATAATACCGGAATGGGCGCGCCAGCTTTCCGCAAAGCCCCTTGTAATTATGCTGATTAATCCTCCTCTCTCCTCGCTTGTACTCCCCCTTCCTCTCTTTTCCGACGGGCATTGTGAGGATGGCTCGAGGTGGAGCTATCGCGTTTGCGCTTTATCCTCGCCCTCCTCCTCCTCTTCCTCCTCTTCCTCCTCGTCTTCCTCCTCTTCCGACTCCTTGCCTCCAGGGTGGGGCCTGGCACCAGTTCTCATGGTGTCAGCGCCATACACACTCCTCGGGGCACACCGTCAGAGTCGGCTGCATTCGACGACTGAGGGCAGCTAAACGGGCTCGCGCTTTTTAGTACCAGCCACGTGGCAGTTTGCTTGTGGCAGCGGCGTTAGCCACGCTTCGTGACCTGGAGTTGGGTACCAGGCACAGGGGGAATGCGCATTCGGTTGGGGGGCGGGGTCATATGGCCCGTAAGTCCCATGGTGGCCTTGTGCCCGCGCGCCCTGGGGGAAAAACCCAGATGCGCATGCCAGCTGATTGGGCTGGGGTTGTTCGTCGGGAAGCACCCCGCAGTGACGAGGTGAACCGAATGCCCCCTACGCGCCACGCCCTTTTCGGCTGGGGGCAAGTCGCTGGGCGACGAGGTAGCTGCCTATCCCTTGCTCGTCGGTGCGCGCGCCTTCGGAGCCGCTTCCTCCCGTAATGGGGGGGAGGTCGGGGGTGCCGGTTGCCTGCCATTGCGGCCCGCCTGCGCGCGGTGTGCACCGTGCATATCTTGGATCCATGGCTCCATGACTCCTCCTCGTCCTCCTCCTCATGTTCCTCCCTGTTTCGGGGAAGCGTAAGACTCGAGTAAGCCAGAACTCGGGTCTGCCGGTTTTTGTTTGACGAGCGCGTCCTCGATGTTGACGGTCCAGTTTTCGTGGGATGTTTGCAACGGGAGGTCGCGGCAAATTGCAGACTGGGTGTCGTCATTTCCATGATGGCCCCGTCAGGCCAAGCCGAGTCCCCCTCACCCGAGTCTTACGCCTCCCCGACTGTTCCCTGACCCCCGAATCCTCTGCAACGTCGCGTGGGTAACAACCGGTACCCCGCCCTGCTCATATTGCAGAGCGATGTTTTCCGGGCTCAGCCATCCAGAGGCACGGAGCGCCCGTTGGCGCGCCGAACACCACCGCGGCGGCAACCCATGGCACCCCATGGCTCGACGGCGGAGGTGGCGAGCTGAAGCAAATCGCGGAGGGAGGGGGGGAAAACCATTCCTGACGTTGCATGTTCGGGGGTGCGTGCGTTTCCTGTCAATGGTCGTCCCCTCTTGTGTCCAACGTGTTCCCGGCGTGGATCCGACGTGCATTCGACGCGGACCCGGCGCGGCTTTCGCGCGGAACCGACGCGGTCGACACGGATCCGATGCAGAAAAAGGCGCGACAAGAAAATGCCCCTTCGACGAAGCAGCGTGACATCCCCCGCTCCCCGACGGCTTTGTGTTCGAATCCACGATGTCAAATTAATTCACCAGGGTTTATCCAACGTGTTTGGTCGAACGTGTGTAAAGTTTTGGCTGCACGCTAATGACAGAAAACGCATCACGACACAGAAAGTAAAACACCCCCCGGCTCCCCCTCCAACTCTCGAGGTGGAGGGCACGGGCGAGAACCAAAAAACAAAATACATAAAACCAAACCACCCCCCGCTCCGTCTCCGTCAGTCGAGGAGGGCGCGGGCGTGGAGGAGGAGCAGGAGGAGGAGGAGGAGAGGAGGAGGACAAGGATGAGGAACAAAGGAAGGAGGAGGGAGGAGGGACTTGGGAAGCAGGCGGAAGGATGATGATGATGATGATGAGGAGGAGGAGGAGGAAGAAAAGGAACGAAAAGGGAGGTGGGAGGAGGAGGAGGAGGAGGAAGAAAAGGAACGAAAAGGGAGGTGGGAGGAGGAGGAGGAGGAGGAGGAGGTGGGAGGAGGAGGAGGAGGAGGAGGAGGAGGAGGAGGGAGGAGGAGGTGGAGGAGGGAGGAGGAGGTGGAGGAGGCAGGAGGAGGAGGAGGTGGAGGAGGAGGAGGTGGAGGAGTGGGAGGGGGAGGAGGAGGAGGAGGGGTGACGGAGGAGGAGGAGGAGGAGGAGGAGGGGTGGAGGAGGAGGTGGTAGGAGGGAGGAGGCGGAGGCGGAGAAGGAGGATGAGGTGGAGGGGGAGGGGGAGGAGGTAGGAGGAGGAGGAGGAGGAGGAGGAGGAGGAGGAGGAGCGAGGAGGAGGAGGAGGCAGGAGGAGGAGGAGGAGGAGGAGGAGGAGGAGGGAGGAGGAGGAAGAGGGAGGAGGAGGGAGGAAGAACAGTGGGAGGAAAAAGGGAATGAGAAAGAGGAGGACGAAGAGGAGGACGAGGCGTGCGCGGAGAGGGGCGAGGGCCCCTGTCTCCGATCGGAATGGGGACGGAAAGAATGGGCTCGTTTTGAGCAGGACTCGCTGGCCGCGCCCCCGCGGGTCTTGTTCACGGAAGACAACAAGCCGCCTGCCCAGCAGCGGCCGCTGTCGGTTTGGGGCAACATTTGTTGTTCGGCAGTGTTCAGAAGGGAAACGCACAGACACAACGAATCGTCGATTCCCAAGAACGTATGGACAGACATGGGCAGTTTGGGGGAAGACGAAAATCCTGAACATATGCGAGAATAGGTGGATTCCTGGAATTTGTGTGTATTCATTTGTGTGTCCTGGTGCCCCTTTCATTGTAACCATTTTTCCCATACCCCTTCCTGGCGTCCGAAGACCTTCCCCGATCCGTGTGTTTGGCGCCCGCTTCGTTGACGATGGCGTTGGCGACGACGACGAGGATGCTTATGACGATGACCATGACCAGACCATTACGATGACGTTGACGATGACGATGACGTTGTCAACGACTATGACGTTGACGATGGCGATGACGTTGACGATGACGACACTCATGACGACGACCATGACGTTGACGATAACGATGACGATGACGTTGACGATGACGATGACGACGACGATGACGTTGACGATGACGACGATCAGTTGATGACGATGACGATGACGATGATACCGCTACCCTTCGCCCGCTTTCTCTTTTGGGGCCTGGGAGGCCCTCGTCGCCACCGCTGGATTCGCCCCGAAGTCCTGGTCAGAACGCAGAGGGGTCTGGGGAGTGGCGGTATTGGCACCTGTCGGTCTCCCCAGATGACGACGACGGTGACGTTGACGATGACGATGACCATCATCGCCATTGTCATCGTCACCTTCGTCGTCGTCGCTATCGCTATCGCCACTGTGATCCACGCACGTGCGACCAAGCGATTGAGAAATGCCCAGGGAGGGTCGAAGGGACGAGAGGGAAGTGGGCGACTGCACACGTATTCCTTGTTTTCGTCGTCGTTGTCGTCGGGGCCGCCAGGCGGCAGCCGGCGGCTACAGTGAAGAACTGTGTTTCTCATCAGTCGTCCCTTCCTAAGATTTTAGCGCGCCCCACATGAGGAGGAGGAGGAGGAGGAGGAGGAGGAGGAGGAGGAGTAGGAGGAAGAGGAAGAGGAGGAAAAAGAGGAGGAGGAGGAGGAGCGATGCAGAAAAACGGGGTCGTGTCTACTGACGTATGCGCGTTAAGCATTCCTCGTAAGGTCGCGCGGCAGCGCCCTCGTTTCCGCTGCAGCGCTTCGCGCTGGCGCCCTGCGCCAGCCAATTCGGCGGGGTCGCTGTGCCATCTCGCATCAGACTGCCTTCATCTCGTCGCCGTGCTGGTCGTGGATCGGCGGCGAGCGAGGGGGAAGTGACAAGGAGAAGGCCCTCTCAGGAGGCTCGGAAGCCCCCCGGCCTCGGAGGAGTTTTGCAAGCCTTCCCCGAAGACAGAACAATCTCAGAAGGCGCGAGGGTTTCTGAGAAGTCCCGCCGCCTTCTGTGGAGAAGCCCTCCTCCTTCTCCTTCCCCCCCCTCGCTCGCCGCCGAATGGAGTCCTCTTCTCGAACAAGAGCGCCCTTAGTGGGCCCCAGAAACGGCAGGGCCGTTCTTTCACCCTTTCCGAAAAAGTCGTGAACATGGAAACGGCAAAACATCGGCGACCAGAAAGGGTAACAAACACGGCTCCGGGAGTGGAACCGGAGCCAGAACGAAACATAATAGCGAGAGAAGCGCTAAAAGGAAACGGCGTCGAAACAAGCAAGAAAAACAGCCACGCAGAACCGGGAAAGAGACTGTCTTTTCCAGGGCCCACCTTTCGGCGCGGCGGGAAGTTAACAGGTAAGAAAAAGAAAGCGACAAACGAATCGGGTAGAAAAGTTACAAGTTTCGTTGACTCGTGTCGTTTGGAGAGGAAGCCCCAGTCCATGCTGGTCATGATGATGACGATGATGACGTTGATGATGATGACGTGGTGACGATGATGACGTGGTGACGATGGTGATGATGATGATGTTGTTGTTGATGATGACGATTGTGACTTGAGGTAATGATGATTAAACGGCGTTGTCGTTTCCAGGGTTCATCCAAAGCCCCAGGCCATGCTGGTCATGGAGTCGTGCGTCGGGGACTCATTCGAGCGCATCGCGAGCCGCTCCACCCCCCGCCCAAACCCTCGCGGGGCGGCCTCTCGTGGGCGCCTCGCATCGGCGGCTGCCTCCAGGTTCGGGGGGGGCAGGGAGAAGCGGAGGGGGCGAGGAAGGGCCAAGAGTGGGGAGCGATACATGGATTTGTATGTATATATATATATATATATCGAGAGAGAGAGAGAGAGATGTTGTTGCTGCTGCTGTTGCTGACGGTGGTATTGGTGTTCATCATGAAAATGGTTGTGCTGATCATGGTGTCGATGATGCGGATGCGGATGCTGGTGATGCTGACTATGCTGGAGGTACTGCTGATTATGGATGGTGATGTTGATGATGATGGTGATGCGGATGCTGATGCCGATGACGATGGTGATGACGATGACGACGATGATGATGATTGGTGACGTGGATGATGATAATTACTGATGATGGTTGTGATGATGCTGATTCTGATGCTGATGCCGCTGATCATGCTGCTGGTGACGATGGTGATAACGGTGGTGATGCTGAGGTGGATGGTGTTGATGCCGATGACGATGGCGATGCGGTTGATGATGAAGGCGACGATGGTGATGGTTATGATGATGATGATTTCGATGCCAATCACGGTGATCATGATGGTGTGGTTTGAGGTTGTTGACGATTATGATGTTGATTATGTTGTTGAAGATGATGGTGATGAAGATGTTGATGACGGTCGAGATTATGATGGTGATTGTGTTGTTGATGGTGATGGTGGTGCTGATTTCGGTGATGGCGAAGCTGATGATGATTACGATGCTGACGTTGATTCTGATGGTGCTGATGAGGATGAGGTTGCTGATGATTCCGATGTTGAGTTTGTTGACGGTGACCTTGCTGGTTACGATATTGGTGATGGTGATGTTGATGATGTTGAGGGTGATGCGGATGGTGAGGCTGAGGGTGATGGTGATGTTGTTGGTGATGGTGATGACGGTGGACATGTGAGTGGTTATACTGATGATGGTGATGATGACACTGATTTCGATGACAACGCCAATGCAAATGGTGCTGGTGATGCTGATGGTGACGCTCGTTTTGCTATGGGTGTTGCCGATGGCGATGGGGTTGGTGATGATGGTGATGGTGATTGTGATGGTGATAGTGTTATGAATGAGGATAACGCTCGTGATGCTGGCGATGGTTATGGTACTCTTGATGGTGACGCTATGATGGCGATGATGATGGTGATACTGATGCTGAGTACCATGATTCGTGTGGTGGGACTGATGTTGCGCTGGTGATGACGCTGCTGTCGACGGTATGAGGAGGGGGGCGATGATGATGAAGTTGATGTTGATGTTTATGATTATGTATGGTGATGATGCTGCTGATGATGATGATGCTGATGGTGATGATGATGACGAGGAGCATGGTGGTACTGGTGATGGTGATGGATGGTGATGGTGTGACTGATATTGCTGATGGTGATGGTACGGGCTATCATGGTGATGATGATGGTGATGACGATAGTGGTTTTGATGATGGTGCTGGTGTTGGTGTGTGTAAAGGTGATGGTGATGAAGTGGCTGTTGATGCTGAGTTGGCTTATGATACTGAGGATGGTGATGGTGATGGTAGTTCGGATGCAGATGATATTGCTGATGATCAGCAGCAGGAAGGGGCGGAGGAGGACAGGGGAGGGAGGGGGCGACATAGAAAGAAGATGATAGGGAGAACGAGGGGGGATGCGGATGAGACGAATATTGCAACCTCCGCACCAGCGAGGATGATGTGTGTGCTTGCGTGTGTGCGCGCGTGCGTGTGTGTGTGTGTGTGTGTGTGTGTGGGTGTTTGGGTCTGTTCGTGCGTGTGTCTGTGTGTGTGTTTGTTTGTGAGTGTGTGTGTGTGCGTGAGATTGTGCGCCCGTGTGTGTGTGTGTGTGGGTGTTTGTGTGTGGGTGGGGGAGGGAGGGGGGAGCGATTGGTTTGTAGGGGTATCCAGGCGGTCCACGTAGGAGGCTGTGCTGAGCTCCAGAGACGTCCAGGGAGGGGAATGAGGAGGAGGATGCGGCATAGAAGATGCAAACGAATCAGAATAAGAAGACGGGTGCTTGGGAATTGGGGATAATGGAGAGGATAGCGGAGAGGCTAATAGAGAGGGTAACGGGGAGTATAATGGACATATATACGGATGTTGGAAGAAGGTGGTGAAGGAGGTAAGGAGGATTGAGGAAAAGTGAGAGGGAGGGCGGATGGGGAACGAGCAGCAGGATGAGGGAGGAGGAGGAGCACGCATATCGAGAGAGGATGGAGGAGAGCGGGGGGACGGGGCGGCGGCGGACGATGCCAGTGTCGTGAGGCCTGCTCCCCCTCTCTCTCTATATTTCTTCCCCTGTCTCTCCCTCTCTCTCTCTTTCCCCCTCCGCCTCTTACTGACGGCGAGACGACCTCAGGGGAGCCGCGTCGTGAGCAACATCGCGGCGTCGGATGTCTGGGGGATGGAGGAGCGGAGGAGGAACCGATTGATGGGTGTGACAGGTCCGATTTCTTTGCAGAGTTCCGGCCAGAGGCTCGAGCTGCCGGCGGGCAGCTCGGGCAGCGGCAGGGTTTTGAGGGGGAGGGTGGCGGAGGAGAGGGCGGGACGAGGCAGAGCAGGAGGCGGGGCGACCAGGAGAGGGGGGGGATGCGCAGGGTGGATGGGGGAGGCGGAGGAGGAGGCAGAGCAAGAGGCGGCGGCGGAGGCGGAGGAGGAGGAGGAGGCGGGGGAGGAGGGGCAGGCCAAGGGAGGTCACGTTTCGCTCGGGGAGGAGCGCGGGCGGAGTGGCAGCGCCCAGCGCGCCCGCTGCCAGATGAAGCAAATCGACTTTGTCGCCTGGGGAAGCGCGAGACCATGACTTCGCGGGAGGCGAGACATCTGGGCGGGGGGAATCTGATGCAGATCAGCATCTCATGTCATGTGTGTACGCTATGGATGTATCTGTATCGTTCCTTTGCAAGTTTCTGCTGTATCCAGTGTTGAGGGGCACGCTGCATGACATGTCTGCTCAAGTCTACCTTTCGAACGTTTTGACGGTGGTATGAGGTTGGCATACAACTGCCTCCCATAATTTCCGAAATCATATCCGGGAGTTTCTGGTATGATTTGGAACATCCCGCACGGGAGCGCAGTGTGAATTCGAAGCTTGATGTGGTTGGGTGTTACGCCGTTTGCCACAGCTGCAGGTGGTTGTGGTGTAGCGCAGCCTTAACCAACGTCACATCAGTCAGGCTCGGTGACTTGGCAGCGAACCCGTTTCGACGAGGCACCAGGCAGCCCACGGAGTGAGAGTGCGCGTCGGTGGTCCACTTGCTCGCCCACCAGCTCCTGCATCACGTTCTCTTTTCACACAGCGCAGCTCAAGAAGTACTGTGGGACCTCCCTGGCCGCCTCGTCTCCACGGTGGCACCTGCTTCGAGTCTGTCTGTTTTGCCAGAGCGTCCCCCCGTGACCCCCTCCTGGGCGTCGGTCGGGAGTGGCATCGCTGGGGAGGTATCTGGAGCTGCGCGCACTGCCTAGGTAGCAGGCGTGCCCACGCCCAGCCCCCTACGGGTGCATGTCCCAGGGATTGTGTTGCTCGCGCCGCTCATGAGGACGAGCTCGAGCATCGCACATCATCGCTGTTCCTTGCCTGGACGCTTCGGCTCTCGCCGTGCGCACGGGGCCCAAATGCTACGGCAGCGGAGGCCGGCTGTGTGGCCCTGCTGCCGAGTGCGCCGCGGGCCCGACCCGTGCTGGTGAGGCCGGGCGGGACCCGCGTGCGCAGAGGCTTTTGCGCCCGCCCCGTGCGGGCGGCGCGTAGGGGCGTCGGGTGGTGGACACCGCAGGCCTGTGTGCAGTGCCTCCGCTGTCCGGTGGACGCCGTCACGCGAAGAAGGCACAGCCTCACCAGCCTCGAACTTATCCCTATCCCTAAGATTGACCCGCCAAAAGGCGATGACAATCTTAGGGATGCGCCCGCAAAGCCTAAGGGAATCCCTGAGATTGGCATCGTGATGAGGTGATGCCCAGCATAGGGATAGGGATATGTTCCAGGCTGGTAACAACCACACAAACATAAATATTTGTCGCTCCGCGCCGAGCTCTTGGATCCGCGCCCCGGGCGCCGCCCCTGGCGCGCTCCGCGCGCCAGGGAGGGGAATCCAGCGCGAGTCCAAGAGAAATGCGTGCGGAGCGCCAACAGTTTATGCGTATGTGTTTTTGTTCCTTCGTCAAGTCCACCCGCATAGTAAGGAAGAGCACCCTTCCTAAGGGGACCCTTGCGTCCTTGCCCCTTCGGTCCATCCTCAGCAACGTTCGCCGGCCAACCTCGTTCGAAAAACACGTCCACATGGGCCTCCGAGGCCCTCGCATCCTTACCGCGCATCCTGATGAGGCGGACTGACTGCACCGTGGAGCCCTGGCCGAGCGTCACGATGCACACCTTCCACTGGCGCCTCGCAGAGTGGCACGTCCTCCGGCGTGTGTGCGCACGCCCCCCGCCCTCGCAGACGATTGGAGGGCCCGAGCGTGCTCAAGGTGGTTCCTCCTCCTCCTCCGCCTCCTCCTCCTCCTTCTCCTTCTCCTCCTACTCCTCCTCCTCCTCCTCCTCCTCCTCCTCCTCCTCCTCCTCCTCCTCCTCCTCCTCCTCCTCCTCTCCTGCCCCCTCTTCCACCCTCATCCATCCTCCTCCCCCCTCCCCCCTCCCCCTCCCCCTCTTCCCCTCCTCCCCCCTCCTCCCCTCCTCCTGCTCCTCTTCCCCTCCTCCTCCTCCCCCGTCCACCCTCCTCCTCCTCCTCCTCATCCTCCTCCGCCTCCCCCACTCCCCCCTCCTCCCTCCTCCCCCCCTCCCCCTTTCTCCCTCCTCCTCCTCCTCTTCCTCCTCCTCGTCCTCGTCCTCCCCAGTGGGAACCCATGCCAAGACACACCCTGCTTACCTCCGGGGTGCCCTGGGCTTCTCGGGTGTCGGTGGATTTGCTGTGGAAAGCGCGGCGTTCCCACACCAAGCACCAATGGACGCCCTGGGGTCTCAGGGTTGGGCTTCTCGTGGGAGGTTTCTCGTGCTCGAGCTCCTGCTGAAGTTGTTTCAGGGCGACAGCACTCCCTCCGCGGCAGTCGCCAGTTTCACGTTCGGCAGCCAGGAGGAGCCGCGCGCGGAGCTCCACAAGAGCCCTCCTGGGCCTCTCCCCCCTCGCACGGTCGCGCACCCGCTCCGAAGCTCTGGCCAGAGTGCACCCCAGGACGTTGCCACCGGGCGCACCTGGGCGCCCCCCTCACCGCCCACCAAACCACCCCAACCCAACCCGAAGGCCACGATTTGCCCTCCATTTCCAGCTGTGGGGGGGGGGGTCGGGGGACATCGAAAAAACACATGGAACCCGCACCCCCCCCAACCCGAATTTCGGGTCTTCGGGTTGGGTTGGGGGGGGTCTGGTAGGTAGCCATCTTCTAGATCTTCGCTCTGATGCTCCTTGGCGCTCCTCGAGATCTGGCGCCTGAAGCTCGCCTGCGCTCTGGGGGCCCTCGGCGTTCCTCGCCAGGAAACCTGTCTTGCGAACCACCTCGAACCACACGGTCGTCGTCCTTGGCCTCCTCGCCGCCCCCGGCGCACCCCTCGCCGCGACGTTGGCCGCAGCAGCGCCCCCAGGGATCCCCAGGGACCCTTTACTAGAGGCCTCCTGGGCCCCCACGGCCGGCCTCGACAAAGGTTGGCCAGAGCGCGCCCCGCAGGCCGCCCTCCCCACCAAAAAAAAGAAAAGCCGGACCTCCCAGCAGCTTTCCGTGGAAACCCGCGAAAGGATCCCTCCTCCTCCTCCTCCTCCTCCGGGCCCTCCTCCTCCTCCTCCTCCTCCTCCTGGCCCTCCTCCCCCTCCTCCGCCTCCGCTCCCTCCTCCTCCTCCTCCTCCTCCTCCTCCTCTCCTCCTCCTCCTCCTCCCCTCCTCCTCCTCTGGCCCTCCTCCCCCTCCTCCTCCTCCTCCTCACCTCCTCATCCTCCTCCTCCTTCTCCTCCTCCTCCTCCTACTCCTCCTTCTCCTCCTCCTCCTCCTCCGCCGAATGAACCTCCTCCTCCGAATGGACCTCCGAAAGAACCTCCGAGGGCCATTTGGTCGTCGCCCGCAGAGGCCCCGCCAAAGAGCCGCGCACAATTGTCCGGACGCCCATTCAGATGCCGCGAAGGTAGGGCAGCCGGGCCCTGCAATCCAGGAAGGGGGGACGGATTCCGCAGAGGAAGTGTCGCCTTGGGTTTTTGTTTGGAGGTCTGGGTGGGCTCTGGCAAGGAGGTCGGGGGGATCCCAACTAAAGAGGGGGAGGTCTGAAGCGGCTCGTCCCGGAGGGTTATGACCCCGCACCTCTGAGGAGATCGTGGGTGCCTCGCCTCCTGCCGCCGCCGCCCCCTCTTGGTATGTCGGGCCTGCCCCTCCACAGGAGGAATATTTAAAAATAGTATCAAACATAGTCTGTGGACGATGTGTTTGTTTCGTTACATATATACACACATATATATATATATATATATATATATTCACATATACATATATATATATATATGTGTGCGTTGGGGTATGATTCGATTATTGTTAATTTGTCGCCCAAGCTCCGCCTGTGGGTGACAGGCCCGACCTAAGCTTGATGGGTTGAAGGGGTGGGGAGGGATAGAGAGCATCAGTGACGCGCGCGTCGTCGTTCAAAGTGTGCGCGTTGCTGATTCGCGTTGTGTGTGTGCACATACGCGCTGATGTGGTCGTCCGACCAGCGTGACATTGATACAGCTTTAGTTCTAGGTCGGGCCTGTCCCTCTACAGGGAGGACATAAAGAAATAGTCAAACATAGTCCAGGGAATATTTTTCTATTGCGTGTTCTTAGTCCACGATCCGCCTGCATGGGGGACACGCCCGACCTAACTTCAGCTCCGTGAAGTGAGGGCAGGGGGGCTGCGAGCCGCGCGGGGCTGAGGTCCAGTCCGCGGTGCGCCTCGTCCTGCCAGGGGAGCTCTCGAAGCACGCGGTGAGCGAGGGGTGCAAGGCGCCGCCCCCGCCGGCCCGCGTCAGGAATCCGCCATCGGCCGCGGGACGGTCAGAAGCCGATCGGGGGTGAGAAACTGGGCCGGAGAGACCCCAGCAGAGGTCTGGGGACCGACTTGGCGTGGGCGAGCGACATAGGACGGGGCCAAGGCGAGGATACATCCATTCCAGAGCGTCCCGGAGCGTGCCCTCAGAGCGTTCCGGAACGCTCTGAGAAGGTCGCGGCGGCCGAGACATCCCCCAGAGCCGCCGGCCCTCAGAGATTCCCGATGCATCTTCGCCCGATGTTATCCTTTTCCTGGCTTCGTCGAGTCTGGGGGCCGATTCTGTGCAGGGGCGAAAGACACACGCGTGAGCGAGCAAAAAGACATGTCCGTGTCCGCGGCGTCGCGGTGCGGAAAGCCGCAGGCCGCAACCCACCGCCGCTGCGGGCCGACGGTTTTGGTGCAGGTGCCCCGCGCGCGCGTGCGCAGCGCATCCCTGCCCCAGAGTCCAGGCCGAGAGCTCGCGAGTGCGAGGACATGGATCTGTTCCCAGACGTGATCGAGTCGTAGAGCACTACCAGCCTGGAACACATCCCTATCCCTATGCTGGGCATCCCCTCACCACGTTGCCAATCTTAGGGGCTCCCTCGTCTTTTGAGGGCGGACCCCTAAGATTGTCATCGCCTCTTGGCGTGTCAATCTTAGGGATAGGGATACGTTCGAGGCTGGTTATCACCACCCACCAAACCACCCCAACCCAACCTGAGGGCCTCAATTTAACATCCATTTCCAGTGGGGGGGGTCCGGGAACATCTAGAAAACACATATGGAGCCCATACCCCCCCCAACCCGAAATTCGGGTCTTCGGGTTGGGTTGGTGTGGTCTGGTAGGTAGTCAGGGTAGAGCAGCAGATCACACCACGGGAGGCTTTTGGGGGCCCGCTGCGGCCTCGGGGGGCCCTCGCCGGGCCCCGGGGGCCGCCACTTATAGGACGGCTCGGGCTGCGGAGCCCGCCCCGGGGAACGGGTGGGGCCGGGCGGGGGGCCGCGCACGGCAAGAGAAGAGGGCGTCACGTGCTTCTGTCGGGCCTGTCCCCCATACAGGGGGATTTCCGACGATTTTTTTTTCTTGGGGGGGAAACAAAACAAAAATAATAACAACAAAAAAAACCCAAATACCCCAAACAGGTCCACAAAATATTCCAAACATAGTCCCCATCTTACTTTTGGACCATTTTGGGGCTGTTGTTGGGGTGTTTGTAATTTTCGTCGAAAACCCCCCTGTAGGGGGGGGACACGCCCGACATAATCGCATGTCAGGGTCCGCCGCTCGTGGAGCTCCGAACGCCTTCTCGGGAGTCTCGGGCCGGACGAAAGGTGGTAGTCCCCAAACGTGGTGGTGACAACACTTGGCGGTGAGTCTCGGGCGAGTTGGTGTCACCACCCGGTTTGGGGACTCGTGCGGTTTTCCGAGGATGTCCCGGACACTGGTGGGTCCAGGAGTCACAAAACCCGGTGGTGACCCCGCGTCCCCAAACCCAGCGGTGACCTTTGGGGGATTCTAGGTCGCCACCTGGTGTCTCACCACCCGGTTTGGGGGTTCCCAAGAAAGGGGGGGATTGGGAAAGGGGGGGGTTACGAAATCTGCTGCATGCAGCCGGTTTCGGCCCCGCCGAGGGGCCCCTTCCTCGATACACGGCCGCCTCCGGGCGCTGGGAGGCGCCGGGAAACTCAGCTACGTGAGCTGGTTCTCAACACCCCCCCCCTGTGCTATCCCCCCCTGTCGCCCGACCCGAATGTCAGGGTCCGCCGCTCGTGGAGCTCCGAACGCGTTCTCAGGAGTCGACAGGGGGAGGGATCCACGGAAGGCATCGGATTAGTAGGGGAGGTCCGCCCTCCCCGAACCGTCGCGCTGCGATGGCGTCCACCCCTCCTCCGTCCTGCGTCCACGGTGTCTTTTTCCTGCAGGTTCTGCTCCCGGTGCCTCCCTGCAGGCCGTCATGAAGTACAACGCCAGCACGCAGGCCTGAGCGGGCAGTAGGGCCACGAGACGCGGGATTTGTACAATACAATGGCATCGTCCATTGAGGAGAGCTTGCCACCGCTTCTGTCGGGGCACCTGCAACAGGTGGGGGAGGACGAGGGGGACGAGGAGGAGGAGGCGGAGGAGGAGGAGGAGGCGGAGGAGGCGGAGGAGGCGGAGAAGGCGGAGGAGGCGAAGGAGGAGGAGGAGGAGGAGGAGGAGGAGGGGAAGGAGGAGGAGGAGGAGGAGGAGGAGGAGGAGGAGGAGGAGGTGGAGGAGGAGGAGAAGAATGAGGAGGAGGAGCAGAAGGGGGAGCAGGAGGGGTTCATCTAGGACCTGTTACCACCAACACCGAAATCTAGGATCATCTTTCCCTTGTGGAGGCAACCCCCTGCGCTGGTGTTGGTGCCCATTTCCAGGCCCCCAGCAGTGGCTCTGCAGAGCGCCGAGCTGCAGGCCAACTAAACGGAGCAAAGATCAGTACTCTCGTCCTGGTCCTCAGGCCTGTCCCTCCTCACTTCGACGGGTCTCCGCATGTCACCGGAAGTCCCTGAAGACGAGATCTCTGGAGGCCCCAGCTTGTACCCATAACTCCCACAGTGCTGGAAGTCCTCTGCTGACATCTCTGCCCCTCACACACAGATCTGCTAAGATCGGCCAGGGCGGTTGGCCAGCGACTTCGGCACGTCCTCCATCCTCGGTCTCCCTCCTTCCCTCCTCTTTGTGAGCACGAGGAAGAGAGAGCGGGAGCGAACAGGGGGAGGAGGGCTAGGGGGGAGGGACTGGGAGCGGACCCGCAGAGGAGGAGGATGAGAAGGACGGAAAAGAAAAGCAGAGGGAGGAGGTGGGAGCGGATTAGGATGAAGTCTTCCTACCCTTTTTCTCCTTCGCCTCCTCCTCATCGCAGCTGCTGTTGCGTCGGCTCCTCCTTCTCCTCATCCCCGCTCCTCTTCCGCATCGTCCCTCTTCCTCCTTCCTCTTAATATTTCTCCTCACCCGACGGTCCCGCGCGAACCGCAGCCCTTCGCCATGCACGAACGTGACGAGGAGGCCACGTTCGAATCCGTCAGCACTGCTGACTCCGAGGACTTCGCTCACCCGAGAGACGCCTGCGACGGCTGCAGGTCGCTGACCTGCCAGACTGTGGATGCGCGCAAGACCGTGGAGGTCACCCCCGGGGAGATGCGCTGCCCTCTACAAGACCCTCGTCCAACGACTTTCAGCACCAAGCGGCAGTGCAGCACCTCAGCGAGAGGACGTTTTGTGACTACCATGCGAGTTTTCTGCACTCGAAGGTAAAACTCTATGAACATGAACTTTTGGCGCTCCGCGCGGATTTCTTGGATCCGGCTCGCCAGGGGCGGCGCCGGAGGCGCCGCCAGGGATGGTGGTCCAGCGCAGAGCCAAGAAATCCGCGCAAAGCGCCACACGTTTATGTTTATAACGTTTGTTTTTCTTCATGCATGCCCAAGCGCCTCCCGTCCGTTCAGACCGACAGCATGCCGAAGCGTAGCAGCTTCAGGCTCGCCGTGCGGTCCGACAGCAGCCTGGGCGATGGCGGGGAGCTCAGTCCAGCCTGGCTCGACTTCGTCACGGGCGTGGTGTACCCCGAGAACCTGCAGCTTGACGTCTTCCGCGAACTTTTGTGCCAGGGCAAAATCGAGCGCGGGATCAAGAAACATATCATCCAGAAGTGACTGAGCATGATAGCGGGGCTCGCCGAACAGGATGGCGACTACCTGAAGATCTACACGAAGTCAGGCTAACACTTCCAGCTCGGCATGAACGTGGACGCGAAACAAATGAAAAACGCACGGAAGGAGTGACGGAAGACGTTGACGACACCGACGCAGAGGAGGAGGAGCAGAAAGAGAGAAGGTGGACGGCGTCATCTCCAGCAGTGCGTTTTCCGGCTTCACGTTGAGCGCCAGCGAACACATGGTGATCGCGGCTTTCGAGCGCGCGGCAGCAGAGACGCGTTGAGGACGATCAGCATGCTTGCCAAGCAATACATCCGAATACTGGATGATCTCCCTGCGGAGGACGTGCGCTCGTGCCGACTCCCTGCCTCTACCGCCGCTGCCGAATGTACCCGTGCAGCGAATGCCCGCCCGCGCCGCTAGCCTGTCACCGCGACCATCGGCCGCCGTCCCGAGCAGCACGGTCGGGTGTGCCCCAGGGTCGCCGCCGAGAAAGACTACAGGTTTTGCGGGGTCCTGCGGCGGTCTTGTTGGACATTGTGTAGTACGCCTTGTGCAGCACACGGGCCCCCCTTGCCGAGTAGAAAAAACTCGTCCTTCGCCTTCTCTCCCCCTTGCTCCACCGCGCCGTCAGCATCACCATCCCCATCGCCACCATCAGCTTCACTGTTACCAGCATCGGACCCCGCAGATTATGCACGCTTCGCGTCTCCCCGCCAGTCCATTCAGAAACCATGCCCATGAGAGTTGACGGGCCA